TACCCAGGAAGACAGATTACCGCATTAACTGAAATTCACTAATTTGCTCTTGCCGCAAAATGAGAAAGTAGTTATCAGATTGGAGCAAAGAACAAAATGACATTTCTGGGACATTAATCTTTACGAGATGTTAAATTACTTGTAAAAATCTCAAGAACAACAAGGGAATTAGTCAGAGTTATTTTCTCAAGAAATGAGAGTGACTGAGCTAATTGGATCATATGACATACAGAGAACATAATTCTTCAGTAAGTTTGGTGAATTAATCGGTGAGGTTCAGTAAGGAGAGCTATCTTGTCATGGACAAACAGCAAAACTAGAAAACACTATTTCTGTCCTCTGTTAATTTTGCTCATTTCATTTTGAACCTGGTCTTGAGCAATACCTTGGGATCCTGAAGGGCATATGAACAGGATAGTGCATGGGCTTCTAGAGCAAGGTGAAAGGATTTCACTGCATAAATTAATAGGAAAATAATCCTACTTATATGGAAAATAGAAGCAGCTAATTCCATATTGATATTAAAAAAACAGAACAAACAGACACACCACCCTTCATTTATACCTGTATGGGTGATATCAACCCATTTGGCTAATCAGTGCACATATCCTAAACCCAGGATAATCAATTTCTTGTCTGGATGCACTTCTAAACCTTAATTATTCATATTATCCAAATTAGAGGCTATTAAAGTCTTCCCCCAAACACTATGAAGTGGCTTTATTTTGCTGTTATGAAGAATTGACACATTTGTCCTTTTCATCTTTTTGAAAAGATACTTTGTTTGTTACCCAAGTGCAAATTATGGGTTTGAAATTGGCTTGTAATTATTTTCCAGTAGTCCTGTTCCACTGTTTGCTGGTTGTTGACCAACAACTTTTCTAGGTTATTAATTTTTTTTTCATAGTAAGAGTTCAAAAAATTCTTTCCTTGCTAGGTCTGTTTGTTATGAGAGGAAGATGCTTAATGAGCTGTCTCAAGAAAACAGTGTCAAAGGTTAAAATAACACTAGCCACAGCAACAAGACTTCTGTTTCGGAGAAAAATGGTGGCTTTAACAATTGTTTTAATAGCACATCAGAAGGAAAAGGATACTTGAGGAGGAGTGGAGAGATGAGGTGGAGGGAGCAACTTCCCTGTACAACCAAGTCTATACAAAAGGAACCATGACCCAGGTGGTGAAGGTACCCATCTGCCCTCATCCCTCTCCATCTGCAGGTGCACTGCATCAGCTGACAGCACATCAAAGCCACTACAAGCATAGCAATGTCTAAAGACAGACACTTAGCACCTTTCCTAACCTTAATTTGCTTGCTGCTCAGATTCACCATCTAAAGCTAAGCCACACAGGCCTTGAGGAGCTCTGCTAAACCACCAGCCTCCACTGTTACTGCCAAAGAAAACACAGTGCTTCATCTTGGCTAATCTGCTAACATTTCAGAGATGCAAGTTTTGTCTATACAGACCAAAGATCCAGCACCTGAATTGCAACTGCACCAAAATGCATAGTGCTTATATATAAAATTCTCCAGCCCTCAAGAATGAGAGGACAGTACTTGGGACCAGCCAGGCATAGCCAAGACAGCTACAGTTCAGTGTAGTCATAGTATAAGACTGTATTTTTGACAGAATACGGAGGAGAGGAATTGTCAGCTCCTTCCATTTAAGATGGGAGTGCGCATGAGCAAGGTGAGATATTTAAGAATCGCATAAAAATCACAACATGGTCACAGTTGCAGTTTAATCACACAACAATGATTTAATGGATGCATTTTCTTACAGGTGTGTAAGATATTCCATTTTACAGCACTTTCCCATGCAAAATGCTTAGACAAACAGCTCTATTATCTCAAAATTAAGGCTACCAGGTGATATTTAGTACTGTTCCAGGATGCCCAAGTTAACCAGTATTCAAGTAGAAAAACTGAATTTCCCTTTAAAATCTGGTCCCTTTAGACCATGTCCAAGAGCATTTCTATTTCCCACCTCCTCCTACTCATGGAAATAAGCCTCTGTACAATAAGCATCATAATCGTATTGATTCACAACACCATCAGCCCACGTTACACTAAGGCTTCCCAATTACCAATTATTACATTTGAGGTCCTACTGATCTGTGTTTTTGCCATTGAAGAGGATCTACAGGAGGCTCACCTCCACATCTCAGCAGCAAGGACTTGCAGCTAGTGCTTAAGCAAGACACCCTGCGTCTTCTTAGACATCAAGCACATAAGCACAAAAACATTAAATTTCATTTTATCCGAGTCTCACAGCAATGCCATATAATCTAAACCAATCTGGTAGCACAGCTACCCTCTATACAATTTCCTGCGTGCACCCTCTTTGGCTGCCACCAGCTTCAGAGGGCATAGGTAAAGTTGGTCAAGTCCCTCTTACCTCGGGGCTTTCAAATATTTCATTCTTGCTGAAACTGAAACTATAAATAAATACAAGGTTCTACAAAACAACTTTTACTACGTTTAATGACAGAGCTAAGTCAGATCTAGTCAAGCAACAAAGCCTTTTGCACACATGTGTAACCTGCAGGCAAAAACATCTTTGTAAAATCCATCCCTGTCCCTTCATGTGGAGGCAGGGATTTCAGGAAACACATGTACAGCTCTTGGCCATATCTCTTTTTTTTGTACCACTTAATGTCTCAGCAGGTTTTGCTTTAGCCATCTGCTTAAAGTATCATCCATGGGTGTCATGATGAAACACAGCTAATTAAGTTCAGATTCTGAATAGGAATACTTAATTTCATAGTGGCAGGGGTCATACATAACAGACACAAAACCTACAGAAAGCAATCGTGACTTATTTTGCATAGCTGACTTACAGGTAGAGCTGTCCTTTTGCCCAACCTGCCCAAAGTTTTAATTCCAGCTCTTAGCTGTTTGTACTTTTGCAATTCATTTCTTACGACACTTTACGAGAAAGATGGCAGAGGAGGCATAGATGGAGAGGTGTCATAACTTTCGTGTTATGTGTTTCAGCTATCACCTTCAGCATTTCAGACCACCACATTTCAAGGGAACCATTGTTACTCCCCTCTTGAGCTGTTTGCAGTAGGTCAAAGGAATTACAAAATTAAACAGGTTTGACAGAAATCTTGAAAGACCACACAAAATCATCTATGAATCCTCCAGTTTCCCAAGTCATTTACACTTCATGCAACTGTCTCAGACACATTTCTCCCAAGTGTTTGTTTCAAGAGGGTCCCTACATCTTGTTCCAAGACAGTCTTTATACAAGCAAGCACATGAAGTAATTTGCTCAAACTCACCACAGGCTGCTTGAGCAAACCTCAGGGTCACCTCTCATGTAGGCAACCCATCATTTGGCCTCACCTGATCCACCTGTGTAACATCAGGCCAGCCCACCAGCCCATAACCTCTCCTTCTAGCTTCTACATTCAAGCCCTTAGAAGCACAGGCACAACAACAAGCTAAAAAATCTCCATCATTTCATGCCACTTTTACCTTGTCTGCAGCACTAGCAAAAGTTTCTGCCGTATATTAAAAAGAAACTAATAATCACTACATCTACACCAAACTCATCATCACACAAAAAGAATGACCTCACAACCCTGTGCATCAATCTGACTGTGGCTGAGCCTCACAGTTTGACACTAAAACTTTGCTGTGCTAAATGACAGCTTTGATTATTTCACAGAATGGTTTTGGCTGGAAAGGACCTTAAACATCATCCAGTTCCAGCACCCCTGCCACAGGCGGGGACACCTTCCACAAGACCAGGTTGCTCAAAGCCCCATCCGACCTGGTCTTGAACAGTGCCAGGGATGGGAGAGCCACAGCTTCTCTGGGCAACTTGTGCTGGGGCCTCATCACCCTCAAAGTGAAGAATTTCTTCCTGATATCTGACCTAAATCTCACCTCTTTCAGTTTAAATCCATTCCCCCTTGTCCTGTGGCTACCCACCCTCATAAAAATTCCCTCTTCAAATTTCTTATGGGTCCCCTTTAGGACTGGAGGGTTGCTGTAAGATCTCCCCTGAGCCTTCTCTTCTCCAGGCTTAGCAACCCCAACTCTCACAGCCGGTCTTCATAGGAGAGCTGCTCCAGCCCTCTGAGCATATTCATGCTTCCTCAGGACTCTTTCAAAAAAATCCATATCCTTCTTTGGGTCTAAAGATTGAAATGCAAAACATTTGGTAGTTGTTTAAAACTGTAGGGCTTAATTTCTGAATTTATAGTCAAGACTTAGAGAATTTTGAATACAGAATTAATCCTTTAAATTAACTAGTGCTCTGAATAGAAACGCTGTAAAGTTATTGGAGGGGATGGAAGGAAGCAACTGTACACACGTGTGCAACCTGCAGGCAACTTGAGAGTAAGGCTGCAAAAAGTCACATTTTTCACATTAAAATACAACATGTCTGAATTTTATTTGGAACAACCACACAATTGGTTTCCACCTACAATTATATGAGAAGAGGCAAACCAAAGAGTTCTGTTTAATATTTGGTTAAATTCATATCCTTTTATGTCTTAAAATTGCCATAAGATTTACTTACACATTTATAACTTTGCTTGCTGAAATACAGACAAAACCAACATATTGCACTTGTGAAAATCCAAAGATTAACACAAACTTAATGGAGTTCTTAGTCAAGTATTCACCTTCACACCACTGAACATGCAGCTCAACACACTAGGAAAATCAGTAGATCTTTTTACTGCTGCAGAAATAACTATTCTTTAAAACCACTCGGTTCAGTTCTTATGTAAGCAGAGCACTCTTTGAAGTGAGATAAAGTTTCACAAAACACAGGCTAAATAAAGATCAGAGAACCTGGAAAATCTTTGGTATTTTTATCTCTTTCTGAACCACAGAAGATAAAGCCTACATCAGAAGTCACTTCAATAACCTCCCAGACAAACAGCAGAAACACTTTACAGAAGAGGGAAAATATTAACCTCTCAAGAAAAAGAAGATTTAATAAAAGATGTAAAGAAAAAAATAAGCACCCAACTCTTACCTAGCAGAGGACTGAAGTTGCACTGGTTCATTCAATGCCTTCAGCAAGCAGAGTCCCAGACTTGTGCTCTGTAGTGCAGACCTCCATTAGCACCTGCTCCTCAAAGCTTTCCTTTTCCACCCTGCATAGCACAAAACAGACACAGCAATGTCCTTCTGCCCAAACCCAGAAGAGCAATCTACTTACTGATTTCAGCTGTCCTTAATATGCCTCAGGTAAGTTATCACCACCAATGCCTGAACAATGCAGGCATCAAAATACCCTTCAGAGACACCTGTAAATTCTCACACCTTTAATGAATTTACCTCAGTAAATGCATCTGCTGAGAGTCCATAAGTAGTAGCAGAGCTTAGTTCACTGCTTATGTGCTAGAAGAACTTATATTTGCCTCTAGAAATTTGTCATGTGAAAGACTTTTTCAACTTTTATAGTTTTGCACTTTAAGACATGTAAACAGAAAGACTTCAAAATCACACCTTAATCTCTAAATAAGCTGCACTTTAATGTAATTGAGTTGTTTTGTCAAAGCTGAAACGTTTTGTTCCTGTATTGATGCAGCATGTTATTGAATAAAGTATTTCTGAAATAATACAAAATAAAACCCTGACCTCAAACTCAAGGTATTTCTTCCCAGAAAGATTAATTGAACAAACTGCATCTACCGTAAGTTTTCCATCCCTCAGCTGGTTCTTTCTGAGAAGGTTCTGACAGCTCACCAGTTTGGAAGGGAAGGCAGTGCAGGTCCCAGCACAATATCGCTAAGTTTATTATACATCTTAGGAAGACATTTTGTCTCAAGACCAGAAAAGTCCATAGGTCTCAGCTTGTAATGCTCACACCCTTATCTCATCCTGGGCTCCTTGGCATGCCAGCCAAAGCCACCGGGTTTGAATGTGGATTGCAAGCGCATAGATTGCATGGCAGACAGGATGCCTTTAGAACAAAGAAGTAAGAATCCCAGGGAAATTCATACCACCTAGTTTCTCTACCTGAACTTCGGCAAAGTTCAGCTTTAGAACCAAGGTTTGGGATTGCTTATATTGATAACAATATGCTTATTGTTACAATTAACCCTTAACAATAAATCCTGTGCCACATCTTGCCACTTAAGGGATTGCCAGAAACAGTGGGAAAAGATATGTCAGTTCCTGACACTGATTCAAAACTGGTTCTACTGAAAAAACTAGAAGCAGAACTAAAACTAGAAAATCATTGTTTATATTACTCCATGTCTTACCAGCCATGGGACAGAAGAGGGAGAATCTGTCCTTAGCAGAGACAGGGCACTTGCTTCGTTTAGTGTTTCAAACATGTTTCATATAACACAAACCTCCTCAAAGTACAATTTCACACTTTTCTGTGAGCAAACAGGTGATATTTATGTAATTTAAACTCCTCTAACCAGTCACTTATTCTTACTAACATGATATGAGATTTGATAGTCTTATTTTATTCATGACTGCTGCTTGTCTGCATATCCCATACTGTTAGTCTAGTGATCTGCCATGAAACACTTTTTCCTGATACCAATTGACTTTCACCCACCAATCTCCTAATCTATGTTGCCCTCGAGATGTGGACAAATAGCCAAAGCTGAAAACTCATAAGAAGCTGCATCTGTCCCTCTTCCGAGCGTTGCCCCATACACTCATGGCACAGTAGCAAAGATTAGCCTTTCCAGCTCTATAGTTTGTAGTGTTCTGGCAGGTTTAAAAGAGACACCTTACAATTTCATGTAAAGCATGGAGTTCCCAGACCATCCCTCAGAAGAATTTCAATTCCCACTTTACAGAAAATCAAAGCCTGAACTGGTGGGTAGGTAATGTGCACAGCTCTTTCATAAACTGTGCACATGCATTAAAAGAAACTTCTAATGTCTTAGGTTCTCTTTAAACACAAACTCTGTCAGTCAGCTGTAATTCACACCTACTAGAGGTTCATTAACTTGGTCCTAAAGAAGCCATCCTACTGAATTTCTATCGAACATTTCTAGTTCTAATATACTTCAAATTGTGGTGTGCAATTTTTGTTTTATTCCTTAGTGCAAAAGCCAGATTTTGTTTTCACTTCTTAAATTTCTATCACAAACTAATAAAATCCTGTAAATTCTAGGTAATCCTTTTGAATTGAAGGTTTATCATTGCTCAGCAAAAGGCTGATACTGAAACAAAAAGTGGTTCATCTGTGTCTAATTGCCATTAAATTAAATCTTGCCCACATGAACTCCTCAGTGAGAAAGACTGGTAGGTAACTATTCAGAGAAGCAAGCTCGGAACACAGCACATCAGTAGCTCTAAGAAGGAAACCATCTAGAGTGAGACTAGGGGAGAGAGTCTTACCTTCAGCTATGGTAAAACCACATCTTGCTTTCCTGAATTAAATCATCTCTAAATGTCACACAAGCTTGCTGAAGCATTTAATTCATGATGGCAAGATTATAGTATAGATATGGATAGCAAGATTTTGTAGTTACTTTTTATGCCACTATTTCTAACATAAGCCACTATTTGAGCTAATATATAGTCTAATGATTTTGAAACCCATTTACTGCATTAAGAAAAAAGCTGTATAGCTATCATACTACCAAAACACTGTTTATTCAAGTATTCTCAATTGCAGTGATAAGTTTTCATATGATTTACTGCTTTGTGACTTTCATCAGTATGGATTATCTGGTAAGGAAGAGATCATCCTGCAGTCTTTTCCTCTCTCTCCTCTGTCTGGCTGCCTACTTTCATGAAACCTGTGAAGATGGAATTACTGTGACACGTCTGCCTATGTATTAAGCAGGTAAGATGTGGACACATGCACATAGTACGGTTCTGTAAAGTTTTGTCTCTTCAGGAAACCAAGAAAAATAACACCTGCCATCTGCTGTTTCAGGTTGCAGAGATCACTTACCTGTGGCTGATCTTTGTCGTGACTGAGTCCCAGAAGAGCTGAGGGTAACCTGCAGCACCAGAGCAATCCATCTTCAAGAAAGGCAGATGTGTAAAGCTACTCACCAGGTGAATAAGTGTGACTGCCACAGTCACCATGCACCCATCTGCTGAATGCTGGGCTGCTGAGTTGCTCTACAAGCATGTTTTTAAATTTTGAGCCTGAGAAAAGTGCAGGAGTGGTCCCTGAGAAGGTGCTCTACATGTATTGCCAAGGGTTTTAGATATCAGTAGAAACGCACAGATATATTGACTTGCAAATATGGGACCTTTCCACACTTCACGCTACTGAAGAAAACAGGGATTTTATTATTTCCAAGGCAGGCACCAACACATTTTATGCTGTTTATTCCTTCTGATGAAAATATTTTAAAATATTCTTTATTCAAAAAGTCAAATAAGCTTTCAGGCAAAGGCAGAGGGAAAAAAAAAACTTGAGAAAATGTAAGCTGTGAATAATTTCATTTTCAGGAAATTTTAGCAATTCAATTTGAGGCATCTCTGGAGTTGTGTGGACAGACTTGCTGAAAGCGTTGCCTTCCTTTCTGTCAGTGTCTTCACATCTTGTCTTGCAGTACTCCCCACTCACAACCCCACTACCTCCTGCAAGCAGACATTCAGGCACAAATCACACTGTAAGAAACAGCAGCAGAGAGTCCAAAACATTTTCCTTTGGCAGCTAATTCAAACAAAAGCTGACAGCTCATTCCCAGAGGTGAGATGCTCTGAATAAGCTCACATCTGCAAACCCAATTATTTTAGAAACTTACTCCACCATCAGTGGAAGCCACCTGCCAACAGTAATTAATACTTATTGATATATATTAGCAGTAAATAAGGGATAGATTAACCATCTCATAACCTGGAAACACATGCCATTGCCCTATTCTTGCTGGCACTTCTATAACAAAAGTCCTTTTAGGACATTTTTTACCTTCTTCTTTGCACTTTTGTATAAAAAGAAGCCCCCCCCCCAAAAAAAAAAATAAAAAAATAAAACAAACAGAAAGCTTAGGTTTTGGTTTGGTCTTGCAGTTTCTTTAGGGAGAGGCAGAAAGATATCAGATGTTTCAGTGCAGCCCATTTGTAATTTGGCAATCTCTGCAAGCAGTGCTGACCCACTTCAGCCTTTTCGAGAACAGGCAGCATTTTGTGAAGTATTACAATCCACTGTATTTGTTTCAGATAAACACGTAACAAAGAAAATAAAAAAGATAAAAATCTGAGAGTGGCATCTGAAGCCAAAGAAAGAAGCACTAAATGAAGATTTGAAATTTACTAGAACCTTGTTAAAAAGTCTCCACTCTTCTTCTTCCATAGGAAGGGAATCATACCAATACTGCACTCAATTAAACTGTTCTTCAGCCACAGTAAAAGCTCAGCCTCTTATTAAAAAACCCCAAGCATTTCATAGCTGCCTAAAAACTTTTCAGAGGAAGTCAGGATCAGTTGAGATAAAGAAATGTGAACACTTTCATCCGTGCTTTCCACCATTTCCCAGAATACTAAAGTCTCCTTTTACCTAGTAAAATAGTCCTGAACTGGTTGCTATGTGCTCTTGCTTAAGCAAAGAGTCTGCCAGGGCACTCCAATAGTCCCTGCAAGCCCTGACCAGCCTCCCCCAGGACCGGCTCCCACACCATGCTGTTGGATGGGGCCTGTCACAGGATTAGCAGAATCCCCCTCAGCTCCCCAGCCCTTGCTGCACCCTGACAGAGCCAGGGGGAAAAGAGAAAGCCATCACACGGTTCTAAGAAAGAAAACAGTAATGAAACTGGAAGGGCCTATAAACTTGCTCCCAAGTCTTCCCTTGGACAAGGCACAACACAAATCAGAGGTGTGTTTCTGCAGAAACACAGCTGGTTCTGTGTCTTCAGCTTAATTATCATCAAGTTTCTATAGGTGTCACACCAGAGGATGTGCCTATAGTGACCCCAAGGAGAGCAGCAAAACTGCAAGGGCAGCTGGCATTGCTTTTCTAACTTTAACATTCCCATCCCCAGCTCTCCTTTAGACACCTTTTCCTGCTGAGTTTGTGATATGTTTCATGACATAAAGATCCTACTCTAACAACAACACAAAGTGATAAGACATTTGCCCCCAGGCTCACAGCTGTCAGGTGAACAGTGATGATGATTTAAATGGGAAAAGACATAAACTGATAGAAAAAGGATACTAGGTGTTGAAATTTGTAAATCTTAATGTCAAG